AGGATTGAGATAACTATTCAGAACACGACTCACCTCCGTTGAATATGTATCCGAGCGTGTCCTCTTTGTTGCTGTCAGCGCGTTGTCTCCCTTGCAAGAGTTCTGTGGCCGCTGACGTCACCACATCCCAGGCAAAAGTAATGTCGTCATCACAGGCGTGCTCGGTACACAAGGCAAACCTTCAAGGGTTAACGAGAAAACGTGTGAATCATCCAGTGCAAACTTTTCATGTAAATTTTCAGTAATGAACACTTTCGTTTATTTTTATCAAAATTAAAAAGTGCAAAAACGGTTTTTAAAAAATCATTTAAACTCTGATTGATCGTTGTTGGGTTTTTTTCTCCGGAGTCTTCATCTAATATGTGTTTCAGAAAGCTATATATATATATAAATATATATGTGTGTGTATTTATTTGTTTATTTATTTATTTATCTTTACCTGATGACGTAACGCTCATTCAGCATGGAGGGCACCATGTGAAGTTTGCCGGAGTCGTTGATGACCTTCAACAGTTTCTGGGTCAGCGTGTTGGGGCCCTTTTGGGGACAGGTTGGAATAAATTGTCATGTTTGACGAACAATATAATTATCAAGAGTTAAAAACTTGCCGGGCATTTAGTTTGGTGATAGCAAGTTTGAGTACTAGGGGTGGAGGGGGAATAGAAAAATTCACTGCTGTCCAGCATTACATTTTTTAGGAGCGAAAAAGAGAGAGGGAAACAAAGAGAGGGACGGAAAAAGGAAAGGTTAATAAAAAAGAGAGGGGGATGAGGAGAGATGGGGAGAGAGAAGGGTAGAAAGAGAAGAAAAGGAGGGGGAGAGGGAGGGAGAGACAGAGAAAAAGAAAGAAAGCAAGAGAAAGAGAGAGAGAGAGAGAGAGAGAAAGAGAGAGAGAGAGAGAAAGAAAGAGAGAGAGAGAGAGGGGGAGAGAGAGAGAGGGGTGGAGAGAGAGAAACAGACATACAGAAAGCCACAAAAACATCCAAAGACAACCCCCACCCCCATCCCTAAAAAAACGCCACAACGTAACTATCTTTATCTCAGCTATCATCAAAATCAACAAAACAACAGAACAAACGACACCACAGAAAGCGACTGCACACTCGACTCACCACGAGACGGAAGCAGACGAGACCCATTGTGACGTCACCGAGCACCTCAAACCTTTCGTCCCCCAGAACTTTCCTCTCGAAGCATTTGGCCAGCCGGCAGTGCTGTGGGCAGACATGTTTGTGTTGGATAATGTTTTGTTTCATTTTTACACTATTTAAAAAAAAAAAACACTTTATTTTTTTGGTCCTAATTTTCCTAATTAAGGTAGTGAAGACCCGCGTTCTGGTTATCCGACAAAGCTTGAAGATTGAAGATGCGCCTTTTTTGGAACTGTTTAAAAATGAATCCTGGCCTCGTTATTCATACACATTTTTAAAAAAATGAATCCTGGCCTCGCTATTCATACATTTTAAAAAATGAATCATGGCCACTCTATTCTGACATATAAAAAAAAATCCAGTTTTGTCTTCCGTATAAGAAACTTAAAAGGGCAGGTAATCAGTGATTGCATACTTTGAAATGTGCAAGTTCGTGTTTCAGATTCGTTCTGATTTGTGCATGATAGTTCGAAATTTGCGGCAACATTTACTTTGTGTCTTCTGCTGATTGGACGTAATGTATGAGTACGCTACGCCCTTAAAGAGTTAATGATGTTGCATCATAATAGACGCGAACAAGGCTTTCATATTAACTTTTCTCCCAAGTATACTTTGGTAAAATTTAATTTTTACCTCTCGAATGATTTTTTGCAATCCCTCGACGCCGTATGTACGTAAGACAAACCACAGCTTAAGTGCTCGGAAACGGCGGCTCAGTGGAATTCCCCAGTGCTGAAGAAAGAAAATACGAACAAATTAGAAATAGTAGGCCTTATTAATGATAAGAACATACAGACATTGCTAGGATGAACAGAAGTAAGGCAAGGCTAGAACTGAATGATCGATGGCGTTATAGTTTAGTTTTGGAAAAGCAGGGATAATTGTTCAAATCCTCAGTTTTTACTGTTTATTTAATCAAATTTAATTTATTTTGCACTCTTGTGACATGGACTGGTTTGATGTCAACAAGCAGACATATGCATTTTAATATACAGAACAGACACAAAAAAGGAGGAAAATCCACATTGTGTATAAAATAATGACATCCAAATGCCTTTAGTGAAAATATCAGCAGAGATATAATTCGGTCCTTTTGAAAAATTGTAGCCCTCAATCACAGTAAATAATGTGATGCACTTATCGCCAACTGTAAACTTTCTGAAAGTTGCTGTGAAAAGAAAAAATAAAACAAAAAGAAAAAAAATGCTACGAAAAGAAAGACAAAATCAAACCAAGCAAAACAAAATCCAGAGTTCTCTCGTCGACCTTACCCTCAGGTCGATGGCCTTGTCTCCATGTTTGTGCTGGAGGTACAAGGGGTCAACGGTCAAGGCCGTTGTCAGGTCATCCACATTCTTGACCCTGTGCGAGGACATACAAGTAAATAAATAAATAATATAGATAATTTTTATAGCGTCTACTCTTATCAAGTGCAGACAGCTTCAGGCGCTTTACATCAATTAATCCAAGTACTCAAAAAAACACAAAAAAAACCAACAAACAACAGGAAAATAAAAAATCCACCTGTAATTATTATGTTAAAGACAATATGTCAGGCGGCGTGGTCGAGTCACTCGTCGTCAGCAAAGCTGTCTTGTACGCCATTGCTCGGCACCGCAGTATCTATCCGAAGACTTCTCCGTCGGGGATAGACCAGTCC